ATACCTATATAATTCATATAAGATTCCTATAAGGTTCCTTTAGAAAATCTATAAGATTCCTTTAGGCATTCTATAGGATTCCTATAGGATAACTATAAGATTCCTATTTGTTTCATTTAAAAATCTTGAAGTTTTCCTATAAGATTTCATTAAGAATCTTATAGGAAACATATTAAAATTCCTATAGGATACTTATACGACTCCTATATGATTCCTATAGGATTCCCAAAGGATATCTATTGAAATAATCCTATAGGATCCTATAGATGTGACGAAAAATCTATAAAATTCCTATAGGATTTTCTCTTATAGGATCCTATAGGACATTTTTGTAAAGGCTAGTAATCATCTCGGTGTAAGAAAATGGAGACTTGTCGTGATCTGGTCGTGGTTGTGATCGCTTATCAACTTTAGATGGTGTAGTCGGTGAATCGTTTCGTATTGCTCATGGAACCTCATCAAGATATTTAAACTGCAGTTCCACTGCACGATCTGGATCAGGTTTGTGAACGGTTGTGTCTGCAACGCCAACCTGTGTGTCCATATTTTTAAAACTTTTAAAAAAAAGTTCTGAGTTACCAATAGTGACAACATAGGGCGTTTACTGTAGCTCCGTATATTGTTTAGATATTTCTACAAGAAAGCTTGATTTAAATGCATATACTGTGCCGGAAGAACGAACATTTTATACTGTTAAATGTTTACTATATATGATTGGAGCGTAGTTATTTAATGATTTACTGTATATTAACTGTAATGTCTGTGAATTTGAAATTGTTGAGGATTTTAAAAAGATCAGTTTCTAAAAAGATAAATTGTTTTTTTTTTTTGTACATATTTATATTTCGTTGAATGAAAGATAAAAAAAAAAATTAAGCAGGAAAATTAAACATGTTAATATAATTGAAAGCTTATATAAATATTTAAAGTTTAGTGCCTCAACACTACTGAGTACCTTTAACAAGCATGCTAAAATATTCAAAATACTACTGTATACATATTACTATTACATGTATACAAATTAAAATATCAACAATCCAAAACACATTGCGACAGTGTAACCTGTGTATTAAAGTGTTATATAGTATATTAAATGACATGTTTTTGGTAGTAGCCTCCAAGGGCAAATATCTGCAATAATAGGTATTTAAAGTCAGGCACAACTTGTCAGATACTTGTCTGTGAAACTCAAAAACAATGTTTGGAGGTAGCCTTTAAAGTTAAGTGGCAGTACTTACATACAATACCATCCAATCAGAATTAGGAATTGTTTTAAGAGGATATAACAGTAGCCAATGCCTAAAAAGAAAGGCTCAAATGGAATGTGTATTTTAATCTGACCATCTTATTATTATTAATCATACTTTATCTTCCAAATCTACTCTAACTTTTCTTTTTATTTATTCAGTACAAAACAATTATTAAAAAAAACAAAAAACCAAAATCAGTGCACTGAGATTATTTGTACAACAATAGCAAAATGATTTTATTAAAAATGTGACAGTAATAAAGCATATTAATTTTTTGTTTCAAACACACCATACTGTACCATTCATTATGCCGCTACCAATTCCATCCATGTGAGTATTGTAGCATTGCTAGATAGAATGTACTAGAAACTAAACATAACCACCAAATCAATCTCGGCAGTGGTTGTGCCTCTTTTTCCTCCTGTATTTGTAACTCATTAATCGTTCCCGAGTTATTTGTCAAACACCCCTTCATTGTTATAGTAAAACCAGCTGTACAACATATCATAATTTTTTTCTCCAGGCCTAAGCACATGTTTTTCGAGTAATTTAGATAAAGGGTTTTTTCTTTAATTTTGAATAAAATTATAACATGTATTTTTTTAAGGCTTGTAGACTGCACAGCAGACAAGCTGCTGATGTTCACATCAGTGAAATACAAACTGACCGGTTAAATTTAGTCTATGGAATGTATCTACCTGGAGTATAATATCAAATATTTGTACCATGATTCTTTAGTTGTTTACATTCAGTCATGGGACGGCTTGAAATGAAAAGGCTCGGTAGCCAAAGTTTGTGAAGATGTCGACTTGAGAACTGCTACCTGCAACACTTAGCACCTGGAAGAAAAACAGACAGTAGCGAGCTTTCGATTGCACGACGGTGGGACGTAGAACGTAATGACGTCACTAAAAGTCATCTGCACATGCGAGAACGTTAACGTAACCTTGTCGAGTAGATTCTGATGTAGCCACGAAGACGCAAGCTACAAATTCATGTCAACCCAAAACCTAGAATCTATTCTCAGAATTGCACTGTCGCCAATCTCTCCAAGAATTGATGAGATCATTAAAAAGAAAAAAAACAGGAGCTCACATTACCGTGTAATAATTATTAAATTAGATGTTGAATCATGTCTAAAATGAGTTGCTTCTTTTTTTTAAAAGTTTGTTTGAGCCCTTTTTTAGGTGGGGTGGGCACGTACAAACTTCATTTTTTGCCAAGTCAACCCCACCCAAGTGGACAATGCATAAGTCAAAAATCTGTCTTTGTTTTATTGTTTTACATTTCAAAATAGCAAGGGTAGTAAATATTCTCCATACTATAAAATGGAACATTCCGGACATGATCGATGATAACAGTAGAAAAAAATCAAAATAATTTATCACAGGCACTTTGTATTCAACTTAGATGAGGTTGACTGTAGAAATACAACAGACCGCAAATATCTTTACCTGATTAATTAGGAGGTAAGTGGCTATCAAATTATACTACCATAGATTTTCTAAGAAACATGGCAATATGTCAGAAAACAGTCGCATTATGATTTTATTGGGCTTCAACTATGCCTAAGTAATCAACAGATACATTAACATGACAATAGCCTTGTGGTATGAAGATATGCCTTGGGTCAACAAAGAATACGGAGTCTAAAAGTGGGTCACCACTTGAAAAGCTAAAGAAGGGATGTAGTTAACAACATAAATAGTTTCTACTATCAGTTATCATAATCACAAGGGAAAAAACAAAGTACTGTAGTAGATAAAGTTTATACGAGACTATATTCTTTATACCTTTTAAAGAGTAACTTGTGTATATTTACATTAAGAGCAATAAATGCTCGTGGTACACCAAAAACAAAGACAGTTCTGTCTCCAAATAAAAACATCAGTTCTTTACAGAACTCTCTATGTGGTGTGCCAAAAGCATTTATTACATCCACCAAGGAGGTTATGTATTCACTGCTGTCTTTCTTTCTGTCTGTCTGTTAGCAAGATTAAGCAAAAACTAATAAGTGGTTCACCATAAAATTTAGTGGAATGGTACATAATAATCAAAGAAAAACACCATCAAAATTTAAGATCAAAGGACAAAGTCAGGGTCACAGAAATTTGATTTAAAAATGTTCACATAATCGGGCAGCACCAAAGAAAACAATGTACTTAAATATAAGAAAGTATAATACATACTCCAAGTATTGAAATACACGCCATCGTGTTGGGATTCAATATTTCGACATTAATTATGTCATCATCAGGATCATTCCTGATGATGACATAATTAATGTCGAAATATTGAATCCCAACACGATGGCGTGTATTTCAATACTTGGAGTATGTATTATACTTTCTTATCTGAGATTAATCAGTGGACCTTTCGGTACTTAAATATGATGGGTGATTCCATTATTTTCTTGAAAGAATTTTGCAGCACTCAAAAAAATAACATGATTGAACACGACTGGCGATTCCATTATTTCATTGAGGGTATGCTGCAGTTTCGCCCATTATACACAGCCTGGGTAATGTTGGTGCTGTATTCTGGCGGAGGTATGCATTTTATGGAGTGACTGCTCTAGTTATTATTGTTATTTTGCCATGCAAACCTTCAAACATATTTACCTTGTTTGTCTCAGAGGATGTGTTTATAGCTAATGAAAAGACACTGTTTGGTGTACACGGAACCTGTGTTTTAACTTCACCATTCATTGTAAGATGTGATACCATCGCATGACTTCCTCCAGAATATAGCTATTTAATTTAGAAATAAGAAAAAATGCACAACACAGATTTAGTCAAGAAAAATATCACCTTATGTAATGGGAAAGAATTTAAAAAATTTACTGGATAAAAGAACGCACAAAGATGGGAATAGTGTACAAGGGAAATAATGCGAGAAATCACTTGTTTGGAGTAAAAAGAAAAGAATAAAAAGTGCATGCATACACAGCTTATGAAGTCCCTAGTGTCATATACCTGTTGGACTGGACTGAGACTCCTAAATCCACACTGTTTAAATTCAATTTAAACTGGGCCTGTCTGAAACAATACTTTTCTCGGTACTTAAAAGTGCTCTGCTTACACAGAGCTGAAATACTCATTGTTATTATACATTATTTTTACATTATTATATATACTACATATATACCAGAAGGGCCACACCCCAACCCGTCGGGGAGAGCTGGCCCCGTCGGGAAGAAAAACCACAATTCATCGGGGAAAAAAATTTTATATATATTTTATACATATTAGTAGACTCCAAAATCGATCAAATAAGCCTTTAAAACACCTAAATTGTCATATTTTTCGGGGGCTCTACCCCATTCAAGGGATTTTGAGCAACGCCCGAAAACAGCCACTTTCTTTGTCGGGGACATCGACCCCACCCCTTTGGTGAGCTCGGACTCGCGTCGGGTAAAAACTTGGCGCCGCCACTGATTATCATAATACAGCGAGTACACTTTTTGTCCAGGTTTAGTCAGTGGAAAACATGGAGTTGAAAAATCTATTGTACTTTATCTTCAAACTATATTGTACTGAGTGTTTATTGCTCAACCCTGCCGGATGAACTAAGATTGAAGTAAATAAGCTCTACTACGTAAAGAACTGGTTTACCTTAATGTTTGCCCTAACCTTTCCATACTTACAAGGTCATCATAGAACTGGACACATTGGGCACAAGAGTTGCCAATGTTGTATACACATGTTGTTGAGAGCGACCTCAAATGCCAAAGCGACAGTGCCACACCCCCTCCACAAACCAGCCAATCATCACCTGGATCCACAGACACACAGCTTACCCATCGACCAAAATGAGGTCGACAACATTCCTATACAAACACAACCGGATAATCATTCAAAGTATATGGAGTAGTGATTGTATGTTTGTGGCCTGTTTAGTGTTGTTATGATTTATGTACAGTGCATATATACACACTGCTTAATACTCTGTATTATGTATATGTATGAGATACACAAAACAGATAAAATGCAACAAAAAAGATATCATACAATCTATGTATGTAATACACCATTGCTGGTGGTATGTACAATGTTGGAAGAAGAATAATAATCTAAAAGTGTCAAAATAGCCATGGGCTGAGGATACAATACAAAATGTTCACTAATATTATGAAAATATATAATTTATTTTTGCATATATAATATTGAAAATTTGTAAACTATGTAGGTTAAAGCCCTAATTTTTTTGCGGCTTACAATGAATTTAGCGATAACTTATTGACTTTCAAAATTTGGAAGGCCAACAGTAAAACTATACCATCAATGAGGCTGAGAACAATACTATAGTTAGGCAATCACATAGGCTAGGTTGTTTTCTTTGACTGGCCACTAGAAAAGTGAATCTACTGGTGGGCCAGGTCTAAACTAGACCTACATTAAATTATGATTGTTTACTAGTTTAATCTATATTCTTCTTTACTTACACTTACATATTCTTTTAAACATAAAAAAATAAAATTATTTCTGTTATCAACCCCCACATTATTTATTGCATGATGTTTACATGAACAATTTGGGCTTGAAACTTGCAATTTTTGTTTGTGTTACATTGTAGTATACATTATTTGTTGATGCAAACTAGCTTTGTCCCTAAAACAAAAGGTCACAGCTTGCAATGGTGGAGCAGTCACAGTACATCTGTTGTTTGCCTTTCAAAACTTTTCTTTAGGTGGTACATAGAGGGCAGGGAATTGTTAATTTCTAATTAACAATTGGTAAACTTTCTAAATAAACCTTATTTTTTATTAATCTGATTTTGTTTACAAGTCAGCGCCAAATAAAAGGGCTTTACAGTATATGTGTATGCTTGTAATCTCAGTTGAAAAATGTAATGTATGATACATTTTTGCAGTAATCAATTTTACGTTGCATTTTGACTCTGACTCTACCGACAGAATTAACTAAGATAGCCTCCAGACAGAATTAACTAGGATAGTCTCCAGAGATTTGAGAAGGTTAAACTTTGTTCTGGTGTCAATCAATCAATCAATCAGTCATTCAATTTATATGGTGCCATTCCAAAAACAGTCATTGCTCAAGGTGCCATTCAAAAAAGAAAATATAAAAAAGTTACATCTTGAGTATGGATTAAATGACCAATGCTAACACAGCAAGTGCTCTGAAACTTTCTGCTATAAGGTGCTATATAAAACAAAAACACTATTATTATTAATGTTAACATTAATTTCACATAGTGTAAAACCAGATCATCTCAGACTGTACATACCTCATTTTTATAAGGTTCAATTATATGCTGGGCTTCTTTTCCACCTCTACCATCTGTTAATGTAAGAAAACAAACAAATACAAAGTATACTTTGTCATCTTTCATTAAAACTACTGGAAAAAAACATACACATTTTTAACTTACATAACGTAACTATACGTAATCTTTTCTTCTGGCCTATCCATATATTTTACTGTTTTTATGTAATTTGCAATTTTTTAACACCTATAGCTTGCAGTCATTTGGTGTAGTTTTAAAGTTAAAAATAAAAACAGAATAAATTTGAAAGTGAATGAAATAATACAAACCCCATATTCTCACTGAGCCATCTTCTGAGGAGGATACTAATTGGTTGCTGGAGTTGAATAGAGATAAGCAGTGGACATAGTTAGTATGACCTGACAATGTACTCTAGAAAAACAAAGGAAATATACAACTCAATATTAGAACAAGTACTCAAGATAGCAACATGTATAAATAAAATTATACAAGATTAACAAGCTTCCCTGAATTTCTTTCCATTAAAACACATTGTTCACAGTAAACTAGGGGCTGTATGATTTTAGATCCCCGGTGCAAAGTGATATTAATCTTCAGAAAGCCCCTAATATCATCTCACCAGTAATGGTGAGAAGAATGGGTCACCCTCTTTAAATATGGTTTAAAAAAAATTACTTACAACTTGAGGCTACCTGATTCCCAAGTTCAAAGCTAAATCTAACTTACCTTGTGGCTACCTGACTCCAAGTCCCAGGTGTAGATATTGTTGTCACCACAACCAGAGTAGAGTACATTATCCTACGGTAATCCAAAATAAAACACTATGTAACAACAAGTAGTAAGAATAAATTAGGTGTTGATTGTTTTGATAATAGTTAGTATATTTTGATATTAATGATGATGGTGATTGTGATAATACTGATAATGGTGTTGATAATAATATTGATATAGTGATGATGATTTAATGAGAGGAAATAGACAATTAGTTTATCCAGGTAAGCATTTACAAAGTTGACTAAAAAAATCTGACAGTACCTTTACAATACCATATCAATGAAATATAATAAGTTATATCCACATTTAAAAACTTGACTGAATATGGTTCAATGGTTCAAATAAATTGAAATCAATATTTCACATGTAGATAAACAAAAAGGTCTACCGATATATAACTATTTCTTCATGAAGGGCAATAAATACATTTACATCATAGGATTACTACTTGGTTAAAACATAGGTAGTATAGTTCACTATAATACATTCATGGTTAAAAGTAGGCTTAGAATTGCTTCTCACCTTTGAATTATAAACAATGCTGTTTGTTTCAGGAGCTGAAAACTGATCCTGTGTACTTGGTACTGACAACGACCAGGCCACCTTTGAACTCTATAACAATAATAATAATAATAATAATAATTATTATTATTATTATTATTATAATAAAAATAATAATAATAATAATAATAATAATAATAATAATAAATTTATGATTTATTGAACAAAGAGGAAGAATTAAAACAGACAGAACTTTTCAGTTTCTTTACTTTTTTTTTAAAATTGACAATCGCCCTCAAAAAAAGGCTAATGAAGCCAATCAAAGTAAGGGGTTACATATTTAAAAGAAACCAGTTCACAAGTTTTCAATTGGGAAGGTTGATAAACAAAAGGAAAACAATATGAAGGCAGTAAGTTCCAGAAAGAAATGGAACAACAAACGAATGAATGTGAAAAGGCAACAGTTTTAGCTTTTGAGAGAACCAGCGTCAATGGATGGTATGTGAAAGCAAAAACAGTATGTCTTACAAAAGTGCGCTGTTGTGGCAGGAGAGAAAACAGATCCTCGGAACACTGATTGTAAACTTTAATGGTATGCTGGTACAAGTGCTGTTGTTCAGATTGACAATGTTCAAATTTAAAGGTCATAGGTTCAAATCCTACACCACCCACTTACAGTACTTCGGGAAATGACTTAATGTTTGTGGCTCTTTCTACCCTGAAGATTCAATTCAATTGAATTCAAAATAACATTTATTTGATTCCTTTTAAATTCGCACTAGAAAAAGGACATGATTAGTACTTGAATGGAGGTAAATTTTCTATAGAATGCATAGAATGGTAAGACAATGAGGCGGTTGCACCATGACTATGGTTGTTACTGTTTTCATATGCACACATCAGTATTATTAGTACATAAATCGCAAGCATATACTCACAAACAGTGGCCCACATTTCACTTTTTAAAATATTAGTAATAGTTTAACATAGTAATATGCAGGTTCCTACATTCATTGATCAAATATAATTTGACAATTTTAGAAATCTGTCCATCTAGGCTGAAACTGAAGAGTAAGATAAAGTAAGAAATGTGTAGGTGTGATTGAAGAGATGGCATTTTAAAAGGTCATTGAATTGTAAATAACTTACCTTTTGTAAAATATCAGACCACTTGTATGCTGCGTGTAAGACGGACATAAATCGTCAACCTGCCTGCAGAGCAGAGAACAAACAGAATCGTCGATCAATTGGGAAAACGGAGCCAAGCTGTTCCGTATGAAAATAGCGAAAATAGTAACTATTGGTAAGGCAAATTTATTTACAAATATTTAAAATACCATATTGTTAGTTATACATTGATTTAGTTTGTATGCCTATTCATATTCCGATTTAATTGCGAAGTATTTAAGGAGAGAAGGTGAGCAAGTAAGCCTAGCTAGTTAGGCTAGCTACGCCTCACAAAGACAGTTTTGCTCTAGGCCTAGTTGGGTCCGCGCAAGGCGCTGGCCCAATAACCTCGCTGCTGTTCTTTTTCTTGTTCTCCAGCGTCGCCAGTTTTGAACAGACTTGCAGGAAATTTTGTATACATAAACTAGAGGTGATTTCAAACAAACTTTCATCGCCCTTCTTTTTGAAGTTGGACCCCAGGGTTCCCCCTACACCTACAAAACAAAGTAGGGGTTTCAGCAAGGACTGTGCATTAGTCATTACAGTCCTGTCATTACCACTATTATTAAATTAATATAGGCCTAGGGCACGTTGCATGGATGGCGTGGCCGGTTAAGTGTGTGTTCTAAAGAACTTAAGGTTGTGAGTTCGAATCGGGTCTTGGTATTAAATTTTCGTTTTTTTAATTTAAAGAAATTTTATTATTTTCAATTTTATGATATTTAATAATTTTGTACATTCTAAAAAAATAATAATTTTGTTTGTACACCTAATATTAAAACAATTTTATCTTATTTGCTCTTCCAAAAAACCCAGTAAAATAATGAACCAACAACAACAGGCAAGGAAAAAGGCATTGTTGAATGTGCAGGCTTAGGCGTAGGTAATGTGCTGTTCACACCATCCCTCGGGTTTGACTTACACTGTGATGTAGTTGCTATAGTTAGTATAGTCAGAAGTGTTGTTAAGTGTTATAGAGCTATTTCTGTTAACCATAATATCATGTTGATATTATGGCTGGTGCATGACATTCCAGCATGCTGAATTACTTTTAGATAAAAATAAATGAAGAACCAACATGACAAAGGGATTGTGGCTAGCTACTGGTATTACGTAAATTAGGTTAAATGGCTAATGACACTGCAGCTGTATATATAGGCTGGTTAGTTATAAATAAAGCCTATCTAACTAGACCTAAAAGGCTGGTTTTAAAAATTGAATCCTATAATCTGTGGATTGTTGTGTATTCGCACAGGTCAGTATGTATTCGTACACACCAGTATTTATTTTACACGCAACTCCTCAAACACTCAACAAACAATTTTTATTGATGTGCTCATCAACTTCTTCAAGAACAAGATACAAATATAATCATATTTTTTAACAAAATCGCTTTGTGGTTTACAATATCTAAGGGACCTTGATCATGGCCCAGGTCATCATTTAAAGACTTCTAAAGATATAATTTATGTTTTCTACACTATAGCTACTGGTGCTACTAAGCTAGTACAACAAGGCTTAAACATGGCTTTATTTTATTTATTTTTTAGTAGCATCCATTTAAGTACAAAAAATACAATAAAAAATAATTAACAATGACATACAATATATAATAAAAGAGATTTAAAAGTGCATGGATGCATGGACGACCCATAAAATCAACAATCATTTTCCAATGGTGTCCAAAGCAGACCATCAGGGTGAATATGGGAATAATACATGTATATGGGTAAGATATTAACGCAGTGTAATCATGATAAATAAAGATAATTTAAATTAAAATATAGACAAATATATACTGTACATATCAAGTAAAATTTAAATGAAAATATCAGAAACGCAATTGCCTAGGAATATGGCAGTAAGGTGGCGACTGAAAAATCGCTCAATCACAATGCGGCTCAGAATTCCATGGGTGACACCAAATAGGTAAATTATTCATATTTACGGTAAATTTGACTAGATTAAACTTGTAAATTCAGTGTATATCTCAATAACAAATTATTATTTTATCTTTATTTTTATTTTTGCAATTGTGAAAATTAATAGAATTAATTTGTGTGTTTAATTTATGTATGTTCTGGAAAACATCACGTTTGTGTACTAAGAAGAGTGCAGTAGCAGATTAGATCTACAGCAGGATTTAGGAATGGAGATGACTAGGTAGTGTAAGAAGCTTGTTTAGGTGTGGAAAGGGGTTGAGGGATGGCTAGCCACCCCATTGAGCCTCCTGCATCTGCCCATAGAGTGCCATACTATATGCGTGTTTGTAAAAAGTCAGGTATAACATTAACGTTTTTCTTCTGTGTTCATTTTATCTACAATATCTGACCTAAAGTGTACTTAGATAATTCATCTATGATTACAGTATATATTGCTTTTGAATATTTTTACTAGCGTACTCAAGGTCAATCATTTTCTGATACATGTATTAAATGTACAGGTTTTATGTACAATAAAGGATTGAATTTATTTTTAGTGAAACAGCTGTTGTAGAAAATCCAGTTAAACATAAAACTGATTATTGAAAAGAATTTGGTTTTAAATGTAAAAGGAAATTCAAATCAAGTACTGATTATTATTTATATAGTCAGCATATCATCACCACCTTCCATTAAGCAATTAATTACATCATACAGTATGGCACCAACTAAAATAAGGTAAGCTGAGACTTTTTTGTACCTGGTTTCGCAAACTGATTTTTTTAAAGAGGGCGAAAAAATAATTGTTTTCTTATTCAGCAAATAGCACTTTATAGGGAATATATTCCCAAGGGAATCAAGGAGGTTGCACATCGTGTCTATGATACTTTCTGTTTCCATCCAATGACCAAGGCTATAATTAATTTGGAAATATCACACCAAATACGAAAACCATTAAAATTCTTTATTACTGTAGTTCCAACTTATATTGCAAGTAGAATATTAAAAAGAGTTTTAAAGAAATATAAATAGAATTTTGTAGCACCTACCGGTACTGTACTGTACAATACCTATTTAGTTGCCATTTGATTGGATGCTTACAGGTCACATGTGTTTAAATTAATGGTTTCACTTGATGAAAAAAGTACATTGCATGACTACAGTAGTAGCGGCACTTTTCGTTAGTTTTTTTTGTTTAATTTTTCATGCAATTATAGTTCCAGTCAATTAACTGTGCCGCCTTTAAGAGAGAAAATGTAAGTCAAATATCGCATGTGACATTTTGACACTGTGAGCTCAGATGATCTTATTCTTAGCAAATTGACTGAGACAACATAAAGTAATGTTTTTTTACTTATACACAGGAATATGAGGTTAAATATAGAATATTTCATTCGAATGCATATCATTGAATAGAACATTCACCTCATGAAAATATATTTATGAATTATTTATGGCACAGATCCTATAAAAACTATTTTATAGGATCTATCTATGTTTGTGGTTTTGTAGTCAACATCAAAAACAATATTGTACTACTACTCATACTGTAGAGGTATGAAACATAATGTACTGTATCCCAATGTCGTTAGGATAAACCTAGTGAATACACACAGTATGTGTCAATCAATAAGAAGCTCTCCCTACAGGCCTAGTCTATGCATCATGCTTCATGAATCTACTATTGGCAGGCCTAGGGTATTGGATTGTTAATATTGATTTTTTTTTTCTTCTTTGTCAGTTGGTCAGATATTTGAGCTGTAGACTCAGATCAATATTAGTAGCTACACGTTAACCCACTATTCAATATGTAGAGCTAGTTTTTAACACATTTAATGATACAATATTCAAAGCATTATGATCCATACTGACATTTTCCCTTGACTTCCTGTGAACAATTTTGAGATAGTCTGTTTATTAATAAGGTCAATAAACTAATAAAAAAATACATGCATTATGATAATTATTACTGATACTTTCAATTGAAAATTACGATGAGAAGTAAATATTTTTTCTTCAACAATTTTTTACGCTATGTGTTAATTGTTATTTTCATCTCTTGTGTTACCTATAAAATAGGCTGGAGATAAATGTACTGTAGGGTGTGTTTATAGCTATAAATCATTGAAAATTGGAAGTTAAACAAACAATGTTTAGTTGAATATTTTAATTGGTTTTTTTTCCTGCAATACTTTTTGATAGGTTTAAAATAAATTCAGCTGTGATTCAAAATTGTAATACATGTGATCACACAAATAGAGCTAAATTTTATCAAGGTACAAAACTGTAAAGTACCAGTATGTTTATATTAAAATGGCTAATGAACCATTAAAGCTATAACTGGGATTTTCTGTATTGTACCAACCATCAACATTACTAAAGATGTAACTTCATTTTGATGAAATTATAATGATTATGTTTACTTACTCTAAAAACCAGGTTAGTGTAAAACCTTATTAGTGTGAACTGTGCAGTAAATGCAAACCTTTGGTACATATAGTAATTTTTAAATTTAAATTTTATTTGTTATTTTTTATAGTAGGATTGTTATTTCTTGATATACTGTAAGCATGGAGAAATTTAGTCTATGAAGGAACTTAAAAAATTAGTTATAGATGATATCTTGTAACGTAATGTTGCTAATGTCAATTATTAAATTTTGTACGTTTCCAATGCTCTATTGGGTTTCTAGGGTAATTCGTTTTCATCAGTGCTGTTCTAATTTTATCATTGTCCATTGATGAATAAAGAAATTTGAAATTGAAAATTTAAATTGAGAATTATAGATTCTCTGGAGGTACTGTATGTGTGATATTGCCACAATATAATTTTCAAATCAATGGCTCAAATCTCCGCTGACATGTTGAAGAAATCACCTATTGAGATCACAGAGCATGTAGTAATATAATTAGTGTTCACTTCAAGAAGAGGGCCAAACCCTCCCCCTCCCCCAACACCCAAGAAAAAATTATTTTGATTCATTAATGTACCTTTGATGAAGTGTATTTATAAGGTTTTCATCACAATGCCTTTGTTAATTTCTTTTTAGATTATATCATAAGCTTGGTTTCCATACAAGCGCTACACGCAATCGCGGACATCTTTCGGTGATGCTGATTGGTCGGTCAAATTGGGGACCCTTCCCAATTTTGTCGGGAACTGCTGCAGTACAGTTGTACTGAAAAAACTGTAGCAATTTTATGGAGACCAAACTTTACAGTACAGACTGTGTCTAATTTGCATAAAAGTTGCATACAAGAAATAAAACCAATACAAGCAGAGATTACTTTACAGCCAACCATCAACATTTTTTTTTCTTAATGAAAATGCTAAATTTTTTCTGTGAGATAATTGCCTACTGTACTACGTAGGTTCTATGCAAACATACGAGGCATGTTGTGGCAAAATGGCTAAGTTGTAGCAAAAATTGAAATTTTAGTTATTTGTATTTCAAAAAACTTGAGTATGTAATCTTTAAAATGAGGGGTCATTCATTAAAATTGGACATTCAAGCCTTAGTGTTTTGGAAGTGAAAGTACAGCACTCATAAAGTCAAGATTTATTTAAACATAATTTTGAGTAATTGCCTTCCAAAGTTATTTGTGCATGCTTTGTTTAATAATAATTAACTATCAAGATAACGTTAAATAAACAATTTGTTGACCATTTCCAGAACTTAGACTTTGGGACATGATGAATTAGACATTAAACTGTTGATCTATAGTGAAAATAAATATTTGATTTTTAGACAATTTTTTGAGCTGCTATATTTTATAACCCTATTACTCAATACTGGCTTGTGCGACAACTTAATTTTGCCACAAAATGCCTCATATTATTAGTTTTTACTAGTAATATGATTTTCATATCAAACCCCCTGAAGAATATTGATTGAAATTGAGTCTTGTAATTAAATTTAGATTACTAGAATGGCTTTCAACTCTCAAGTGGAAAGCATTAACAAAAGATCTAAATGACAGCTCTGCACGTGTCCTTATTTCTTTTGTAGCTGTTGAATTATTTTGAATAAAGTAGAGTTTGTGTACTTAGTGTTGGTCGTGTTTTTACACAGTATTTGAGAATATTCAATCATTGTGTGTTTTTATATTATTCTCAATTTAACTTTCATCGTTTTTCATCGAACTTCATCAAGTGACTTGCCACATATGGGAAGTAAGGCTCTATAAACTACTGGTATACAGTTTTTTAGTGTACGGAAGTGAAGTTGTTTTTTGTCATGAGAAAATATTGTTGTCACAGGATTTTTTCAGATAAAGTGTAATGCATTCTCCGGGAGATAGAATGCGCACCGTCGAGTTTCGGCATTGGTCACGCATCGTCAGGAATTCCTGGCAATGGCGTTAACAGTGTCGAGCGCGGTAGTGTGTATTTTATTTCTTGGTACTGTAGGCTTGTGATCATGATTTATTGAGAATGAGGGCTTTTTAATAATTTGTCACGTCACTCAGTACATAAACATCTTTAGTTACACTTACAGACTGTTCTTCCACTACGTAAGTTACAATATGTTGCATGCTTTTGTAACATCAAGGCTAGACTGTTGTAACTCAATGCTTTATGCATGAACCTATTAATAGGTCCATGCTTTATGGTTTGCCAGCTATAGGATATTTCAAAACTTCATCGAGTTCAGAATGCAGCTGCCTGCATGGTCTCTTTAAGCCTGATAAAAGAACACATCATGCCTGTGTTAAGGCACCTTCATTGCCTTCGTGTAACACAGAGAATCACTTTAAGATTTTGTTGTTTATTTTCAAATCTCTTCATAATTCCTCGCCAATGTTTATTTCCCAACTAATTCATCCTTATATTACTAAGAGGTGTCTGAGATCTAGTTCAGAGTCTCTACTTGCTCATTCTATTCGCCCGTCAACAAAGCATTATGGCAATCATTCTTTTCTTGGGCTTCTGTCTTTCTTTAGAATGCTTTGCCTATTACAATCCGACAGGCAACTTCCATTGTTGAGGTTTATAAAGCCAAAATTATTATTATTAAATTATTATTATTATTAAACATTACTGGTATTCTCAACTTTCAAACCAGTACAGTATAAGCCCAACACAGGCATTGTATGTCCAGGGCAAACAATTGATGACATTTGTAAAATGTTTTTAGAAATTTTACGAGTAATTACTTACTTCAAATAATAGTTTTCATAATGCAATGCTAAAAGAGATGACTTGTCACATTGGGGCCCAAGATTATTTTAGCCAAGCCTCAATGCAGTATTACCAAGAGATACAGTACATACAGTTAAATAACTAAATAATTTACAAACTAGAATGTGTGTAATTCCATGTACAGAAAGCAAATGGTATGTTATGAGCATCATGTTATAAAATGAAAAAAGGTACATAATAATTATTATAATATTAATAATGACTACATGGCAACATAATACAAGCTCATATCATAAATTGTAACATGAATACTGCATGGGGAAACTAGGTTATGAGTTATTGTTGTATCACATGCACAGAATACTATAGTCTGCCCAAGATAATGGTTAATAAACTTGGATAGGAAAGATCTATAATTATCATTTTGTGTATGGATAGAATGAGATACAGTTAAGCAGTGATTTAGTAATCAGGAAAAACTGTTGAAACAGAAGACCTTAATACAGATCTGCCATACATTACATATTGCACTCGACAAAAATCTATTGCAAATGACCTCAAATTAGTTTGCTTTTGTACCAAATTGTGTATCATTATGATCATTAAATTACTATGTGTGCATGCATAATATTCTTGGATACCGTTTTGTGCTGTTGTGTGAGATAGAATATGTACAGTAAGCCTGATAAACATCACCAAAGCAATTAATGCAAGCCTATCTTCACATCGAGTGCACACTGAGTGAAAACAAAATTTAGCTCAAGAGGTTTTCTGGGCTTGTATGTCTCGACCTTTGTTTTGGGATTTCTATGCAGCTATTGAGAATTGATTTTATCTTTTAATCTATAGTTTGTAAGTGTACTGTAGCGTCAGGTAATACCTGTGCAAATAATGTTCACCTTCTGATTTCATGATCTCTAAACAGACAACTCGAAAAATAGATTTTTTTCTCTCAAGCATAATTTTGTTTCCAAGTGGATCAAGGATTAATGTTAACTCAAGGAAAAAAATCTGAAGATTCAGAGAAGCTACACCTTTGACCAGCTTTCTCTCAGTGCCTTTGATAGTAAACAATTTCTCATAAATAATAACGAGCATGCCTTTTTGTTTATGGTTCTACTGTATTTCTGTGTTTTGTTTGTTAGCTGAAGTGCAATATTTTGTGTAATGTATGACCTTTTATTGATTACATGCATGCATGCAGTCCCTTTTTATAGCACCAGCTGAAATACCTACGTAGTGTTATTTATCAGAATCTTTGTTCATGTGATTGTTTGTATTTGAAAATTATTAAAACAATCTTAAAAGTAAAAATCTCTGTCTAGATTGTAGCCCATGGTCGTAGTGTGCCTATATATGGTCATGATGTGATGTCATCATGACCATATTTAGGCATGTCACATGTTTTTGTCAAATAACATTTGAGAGTCTGGACAGGGCTTAAGAAAAATAATTCTTTAATAGAAAATATGATTCTTTGTAGGGCTAGATAAAAACAATTATGTATTTTGTCTTTGGTTTAACAATTGAAAGTTCATTTTTTATTAGGCTGGAAAAGTGATGAGGGATGGAGGCTTCTTTTTTTATTTTGTTAAAGTCAAATATCAACCTTGGGTTGTTTGCTGATGCATTGATATCCAAAGTAAAATATAATTGAGATAATTTAAACAATATCTACTAACTATTAATAAAAATTAATGAAAAAAAACTTTGTTTAAAAAAAAAAAGACATGTGTGCAAGGGTGATAAACTAATAATTTTTTTTATTAGGCTTTAGCACTCAAGTGCATTCAAAATTGTATTAGGCTATAAATACAAAATACAATATACAGTAAGAAATAGAATTACTGTTTAGTACATTTTGTAGATTGTTTTCTGTTAACTGCAGTTCGATAGAGAAGAACCATAACTCATATCTAAGTTTATTGAGTATGTCATTGGATTTCGTCACATATTCATCACCACCTGATTAAGTAATTTAATGTGATGAGCTTGCTTCACTGCTGTTATAGGTTTCAGATTATTGGAAATGATTTGACACTACTCATAAATCATTGTTATATGCTAGACAGGACTCTAAAGCTGATCAACAGGTATTATGTGATGAATCCAAATATGATAACTAAATTTATATCTAAATATAATTAATGATTTATAAAACATCTAAATAATTTATGCTACATGTATGACAACTTCATTCTATCTGTAATGATCTGTTCGCTCCTAAACCAACTGTAGTTTTACCCTTAATAATATCGTAGTTGTCTCGTGTTCACACTGTCAAATTCTGTGTGTGAAATATCTGTAATTATGTGCATGATGACATATCACATTGTTACATAAATCTTGCTAGTGTGGACAAAGCACTGCACTTAGTGTGTAGAGCACAGCTTCATCCTGTAAAATGATGAGTTATTACTTGGAATGTTTGATGTATAGAAATAATTTTTTACCATCGTTCTTTGCATTCATTTTTTAGGTTGATGTGAAATAACTGAGCCAGGATGTACAACGGCATTGGTCTAACAACGGCGCGAGGTAGCGGTACAAATGGCTTTGTTACCCGTAACTTCGCTTTGGTGCGTAACCACAAGGAGCATGTGAACTACAAGACCGAGGAGGAGATCAAAAAGATGGACGCATTGATGAATCGTAAAGGCAACATTGAGATATTAAACCACGAGAAAAAAAGGAAAGTGGAATTGAAGTGTATTGAGATGCAAGAAATCATGCAAGAACAAGGGTAAAATATTTACTTATTGAATTTAAGGATTAACAAGCCAAAAATACATAAATAATTTTAGGTAAAATTACGGTAATGAATTCTGAAAATTAATACAAATTTTAAAAACATTTTATAATAATGTCCGTTAATTGAGGTACTATTACCCTCAATTAACTTACAATTTGTAATAATGTCTGTTAATTGAGGATAATAGCACCTTAAGATGTTTTATGCAGTTTATGTTGAAATTAGAAATATTTATTTCAGATACACTGAGGAAGAAATTAATCAAAAAGTGAATGCATTTCGAAAACTGCTTGTTGAAAAAGAAGGTGTGCCAGAGAGCAATGATTCTAGTAATCGGTCACAGTACGTACTTTTAGTTTGTATTCTACCTTGCCAACTACCAAGCAATGCTCAGTTATATATCCTTTATAAGTCCATGCTCAATTCAGTAACTTAATACTAACATACTTTGATTTCAATTGCTAGCCTTCATCTTAGTAGAAGCTCAGCATATAATTTCAATAATTGAAGACCTACTTATCAACCATAAAAATAATATTATATAATCATTAAAAATATTTATTTTTTGTGTTTTAAAGAACGGCCAAATCAAGTGATTTCTAAAACATTTTTTGATTTTTTTTTTTTTTTGTTCAGCTTCTCATCTGAGTTTAAGTCCATGCCCTATTTCTGTTGGATTTCGTAGCCAGCCCCCTTACTCCGGGCTTATAATTTGTAAAATATGGTATAGCCTTTATCCAGTCTGACCAAAAAGTATGCTTATAGAATTGAAATTTATGTATGATTCTATATTTCTTGAATTATGTTAATTGTGAATATTTGGTTTAAAAGTGTATATTGATCACTTTTTATTTATTTAAGTTTTTGTTTACTGCATATCATTATCAGGGCCTAATGTATCTAAATGGTGTCTTATGAGCTCAAGGCACTACAAACATTTTGTTTTTTGCTTCATGTATCTTATGTCGTATAACATACCTTTGTAATAGCATTTACAAATATCTCTATCAGAAAACCGTTTTAATTTAACATTTTTATTCAGGCTGTTTTTTGTATAGTAATATCCAGTTTAAACCGAACTGTACAGCAATCAATATTAGATCGCAATATAAAGATGATTCAAGGCCAAAAAAATAATGATGATCAATATATGTTTGTTTAATTCTGTCAAATACCACAGCAGGTACCATATTCTCACCAGTACAGTACATGCAGTATGGAAATCAACTAAATTATTAAAAGCAATATAAAGCAATTGATTAATTACAGTTTATTATTAGATTTTACCTGTAGGTATAGTATTATGTTACACAAAGAATAATTTATCCATAGCTTGCCACAAAAATTGTAGTGCATTAAACATGCATCTTTATCCGCCGAACTAATGCTTCTGAATGATACTGACAACTCTTCAAGTAGCTGTATAAATGAATACAAATAAATATTTAAAAAATGAATAAATAAATAAAATAAACAAATAAAAAATGCAGGAAAAAAGGCTATAATTTGCAGGTGGCCGCGAGCAGCTCTGCTAGAGATATATACATGTGCCAAATAGGATGACATAATTATTATTATTATTATTATTATTATTATTATTATTATTATTAAAATTAAATGCATTTTTAGGCAAAGATATTTGACAAAATTCAAGCTCCATCCAAGCTAATGGATTGATTTGTGAACAGTGCAGTTGTAGACTACAGCATCATTAGCTTCTTTTTATTCACTGTCAGCATGTACTCTTATTCATCATGCATTTTAAGTACATCTACTTCCTTCCATCCTGCAGTTGAAAAGTTCATTCACTGAAGTGAATAATTGTACAGTAGTTTCTCGGGTATAGGCCCATCCTCCTTATATAATATTGTGACATTTTAGTCAAATTTTACCCAGGAACCAGAAAATGGTGGATCTGTTAGATCGGTCTAGTTCAGACCTCAACCAACAAGCCACCCCAATGGGCAAACCATTTGTTCACAGCAGCACCTCAAATCCAAAACATTTGAGGAATACTTTTTGAGGAGCATTTTTATATAAATATCTCAAAATTTTAACTGGGCTTTACCTGGATTTATCTAATATAAATGACAATAATATAAAGCAAAATTAATATTGCCGATAATGTTGCTATGTTGTACCTTAAAATAGTATTGATCGTCAAAATTATGAATTTTGATTAAATTTCCATCTGTATTTCAATTTTATTAACCCCAACCATGTCTTGAATAAGTCTGTGCTTACATTAGATAAGCCATACGTGCATCCTTAAATTTTCTTCTGAGAAACTATATATTGAGTAGAATTATTTTGTAGTTAATCAAATATCAACTGAATTTGTAGGTGTATTGTAAGTAGGCAAACAGTCATAGTTTTCGCTCAATAAATTCAATATGCTTCCTACTCTAGTTTATTTGTACTTTCCAAGTTCTTTGTTTTGCATACAGTAGTACCTTGAACCATTTAAGCAATACATTACAGATAGTAAAACATTTACTGTTGTTTGGCAGGTACAGCATATAATTTGTTTGCATAGTACTGCAACTGATCAACATTCTATCCTAGCACAGTAGATTGTACCATATAAGTCTTCCTTTATTCTGGAAAGCTCTCTCAATGTAACTGGCGTACTGGTCTCCCAAGAGGTCCAGATGTGGTAAAAATATGAATAAGAAGAAAATGAAAGGAATGATAAAAGAGGTAAAAAAAACTATTGAATAAAATGCAAAAATAAAATTTTAAGGTTTAGAAAATCAATTAGATCAATAGTTTGGTAATGTTTACAAAGATCATTGGTGCCCGGTAATGGAAACTTCTCTTTCCTTGATTATTGTTCCATGTTGGAGTTGTATTGAGGATTGGCTTCTAGTATTTTTGGGTTGAGTGTGTAGCATTATAGAATGGTATAGTATTAAAAACAAAAATAAAAAGCTAAGTAAAAATTGGTGTGACCTATTTCCATAATATTAATTGTTGTATTATACTGTAATAATATTAGGATTTTGAAAATTAAACTGGAATTGTTATGCAGTATTTTAAACAATTAGTTTCCAAAATAAATAGCAATTATTGTGCATATTTGATTGCTATATTAGTTCTATAATACTCTATCTAAAGATGCTAGAAATATTTTACCAATCTATTAGTTCCTTCATGCCCACTGTATACATAGCCAGTTACATTAGTAAGTAGTCGCTTGCATGGTTTTAAGAAATATAGTAAACACTCTAAAATAATAGAGAATGAGAATTATACTGTACAAATTGCTCGCAATGATGTAATGGAATCATATGGAGTGTAGATTACCTTTAGTCATGTGTATTATTCAGCCTTTATTGGATTTCTTGATACTGATTTAAAAAGTCAGAGACGTAAATCTGCTGTATAGTTAATGTGTTTGATAGCCTAGAGGATAATAAATGGAAGATGTCAGTCTCAAATGTTGAGAAATGCAGTGTCCACAGAGCCTCACTTACCTTTCCAATAAGGAATTATTGCTGGTTGTTGTTGCCTGTAATATGCACTCATGATTTCTCATGAAGTTTTTAGCTGCTAAATAAAAAGAAAATATGTTTTTCATTTTTTGAGGAAAATGAGACTTTTTTGCTTTTTTCCTTCTCAAAGATTTCCTTCATAAAGATGACCT